TTGATTTCACACGCTAGTTCCCTTTTCAATGTGTTTTATTGCCTACTTTTATTTCTATGCCCCTGTAAGTTCCAGCGCAAAGACATTCTAGTTAGAAATCAGGTTTCACTCTGTGTGTTCTATCCAACAGAATACACTGACAGTATGATAACCTTTTAGATGTCCTATAATTTCATCACTGTTTCTAAAGACGGCCGGCGTAATGCTGACCACATTACCCACCGAGTGCCGATTGGTCTGTAAAAATATGGGACGATCTGCCCATATACCTGATGCCCCTTAGGGGTAATAAGGGATCTTTACTTTTTTTAAAAACTTTTCTAAAAAACTTAGAGATGCCCCAACATTTCATCAATGTTTCTAAGAAACTGTAAGATGTCCCAGCATTTCATCACTGTTTCTAAGAAACTGGGAGATGTCCCAGCATTTCATCACTGTTTCTAAGAAACTTGGAGATGTCCCAGCATTTCATCACTGTTTCCAAGAAACTGGGAGATGTCCCAGCAATTAATCACTGTTTCTAAGAAACTTTGAGATGTTCCAGCATTTTATCACTGTTTCTAAGAAACTGGGAGATGTCCCAGCATTTCATCACTGTTTCTAAGAAACTTAGAGTTGTCCCAGCATTTCATCACTGTTTCTAAGAAACTTAAAGATGTTCCAGCATTTCATCACTGTTTCTAAGAAACTTAGAGATGTTCCAGCATTCCATCACTGTTTCTAAGAAACTGGGAGATGTTCCAGCATTCCATCACTGTTTCTAAGAAACTGGGAGAATTCCCAGCATTTCATCACTGTTTCTAAGAAACTGGGAGATGTTCCAGCATTCCATCACTGTTTCTAAGAAACTGGGAGAATTCCCAGCATTTCATCACTGTTTCTAAGAAACTTAAAGATGTTCCAGCATTTCATCACTGTTTCTAAGAAACTTAGAGATGTCCCAGCATTCCATCACTGTTTCTAAGAAACTGGGAGAATTCCAAGCATTTCATCACTGTTTCTAAAGAAACTTAGAGATGTCCCAGCATTTCAACACTGTTTCTAAGAAACTGGGAGATGTTCCAGCATTCCATCACTGTTTCTAAGAAACTGGGAGAATTCCCAGCATTTCATCACTGTTTCTAAGAAACTTAGAGATGTCCCATCATTTTAACACTGTTTCTAAGAAACTTAGAGATGTCCCAGCATTTCATCACTGTTTCTAAGAAACTTAGAGATGTCCCAGCATTTCATCACTGTTTCTAAGAAACTGGGAGATGTCCCAGCATTTCAACACTGTTTCTAAGAAACTGGGAGATGTCCCAGCATTTCATCACTGTTTCTAAGAAACTTAGAGATGTCCCAGCATTTCATCACTGTTTCTAAGAAACTTAGAGATGTCCCAGCATTTCATCACTGTTTCTAAGAAACTTAGAGATGTTCCAGCATTGCATCACTGTTTCTAAGAAACTTAGAGATGTCCCAGCATTTCATCACTGTTTCTAAGAAACTTAGAGATGTCCCAGCATTTCAACACTGTTTCTAAGAAACTTAGAGATGTTCCAGCATTTCAACACTGTTTCTAAGAAACTTAGAGATGTCCCAGCATTTCATCACTGTTTCTAA